CTTAGAGATATGGAAATTTTTTGTCCCATACTACAGGTCCAAGGACACAACCCACAGTAGGGAGGCCCTTCCCAGGGGGCTAGAGTTCTTATATAACTCCTTGGCCCTGGCTATTGGGAACTCAGTCACATGCGGGTTGCAGTCTCTGGTATCCAGTTCTTTGCAAATGATTTCTCAGATGCTGGCCAGAGGTAGGTTAGTCAGTTTCTGGTTATGCTGGAAGAGGGATCACAATGACAGTAGCGAAAGTGATTGGTGGAATGATGGAGTTCCAGCAACTCAGCCAAAGTCTCTGTCGATAAGGCCACTTGAAAGCAATGCAGCCAGAAAGAGAGAAAGGAGTTGTGTTGAGAACCTGAATCTGCAGCTGCACATCAGCCACTAACACAAAAGCACACAGCGAAAACACTCACAGTGCTAAATATACAATCTGATATCAACAAGCCTGGGTTGTATATATAGATACAAACATACGAACAAAGCATGTTATATGCAAACACAAGGGGGAAAAACAATGGTAACTCTCATTAGCTGGCACAAATGAAGTCCTTCCTTTCCTGCATCCTTTTGTTTTGTCATCTCAGAAGAGAACCTCTTACACTGAGCACAGTCATCTTAGTGAGAGGTTACAGCATATCTGAAAATGGAGCGCAGAAGGGTTGAGAGAGGGGAGGCCTGGAAAGCTGGGCAAAGTGGTTATTTGATTCTGTTGCAAAGGATGGAAAGCAGTCCCTGGGAGAAGCTCACCACAGTTTCCCCAGGGAATTGAGTGTCTGAAAGGGAAAAGAGAGGTTCAGAAAGGGAGAGAAAAAAGAGCATTAGAGAGTTATAGTGAAGATACACTTTAAAAATACACATGAAAGTGCTTATTAAACCAAAGAAAATATGAAGCACACAAAAGGGGGAGATGACTGCATCACTAGGGGTCACAGTTAGGGTAATTAATGGTTGCCACACAGGCAGTGACCTAGACAGACAATAATTTCTGCCAATGAAAATAAGCTTAAATTGACCAGGAGCATTCTGAAACCATAATATATTTAAAATACCAAAGCACTTTTTAGAACATTTCCCTACAATGACTGTTTTAAAATGTCAGGGTAACTAAGTAGAAACCTTATATGAGGCCAAGAAGCAAAATACTGGCATCACCAGACTTTAAGCTCTGTGAAACCGGGGGCTTGGACTAAGTGGCATGCCCACATTTGGAGCAGTACTTGGCAGGTGATAACCACTATAACATACTTGTCAAATGAGTTAAAGGATTATCAACTGAGAACTTCCATAATATAACAGATGAAGGCAGAGGGTGGTGGTAGTATAAGTTTACAGATGATCCAAAATATAGAAGGTGGAGTCAACTAATTGGAAGTCATTATTAGAACATGTAACAATCTATAAAATGTCAGGACCTCGATACATGAACTTAATCTTTTATTGCAGGAAAAAGATGGTAAGTCCAACCAGGTGAAGTAACCCACTCTCCTGCCTACCCTAAGTCACTGGCAGGAGCAAAGAGAGGACTTCTCAAACTACATATAAGTCCTCAGTCCCTCTCCCCTAGTTCAGCACAGAGCCCTCTGCTCCCTTTGCTTACAGTATGAATCACTGCTTCTCAGTCACATTTTATTAATTATATATTGATCAGTCGTATCTTTTTCAAAAGGAAAACTATTGAGGGTCATTTGTGAAGAATGTGTTAAGGTAAAAGATTCTAGAATTTTTAATTAACTCAGTAGTTGAGAAGGGAAGAAAAGCAGATTTGATAGCTATTTCTGAAGACTAGCCTTATTAAACAGCTACAAAATTGACCTGCTCAAATCAATCTCCAACACTAGCAGTGTGGTACGAGATAACATTATCTTTGCCCTGGACATCTGCTATAAACTTCTAATTGATCTGACTGCAAATGCACTTACTGCCTTTAATACATTTTTTGACAGCAACCAGAGTTATATTTTTGAAATGTAAATTGGATCATGTTACACTGCAGCTTAAAATCCTACCATTTCTCCCTTTTGTTTCTTGGATAAAGAGAAAACTTAAAATTAAGCACAAGGGTTTACATGATCTTTTCCTACCTCTGTCTCATCCCATTCACCCTGGGCTTGCTTTCTAAGCCCTAGTTCTACTGGCATTTCACCCCCTGCCCATATTTACCATGAAATTTCCCGTCACTCAGCCTTTACACCCCTCGTTCCTATTAACCAGACATATTTTTTCTCTGCTCAGTATCCTCTCTACTTATTAGTGAATTCTTATCCTTCAGCTATCATATTAGTTAACACCTCTTTGGAAGGCATTCCCCGTGAACTCTGACTGGGTTAAATAGGCTCAGAGTGTACAGTAAGTCTTCCTAGCAGTCCAATTGTTATTTTACATTTATTTAAGTGATTTGATTAGTGTTGGTCTCCCTCACTAGACTACATAGTTCAGAGAACAAGACCTGGATTTGATTTTGCCAGTACCGTGACCACTAATACTGAACACCTAGAGGTTACCCAATGATATTTGTGTGTTTAAATGGAGAACTGACAGGAATTGATGAATGTCTGATTTGAAGCATAAGGGAATATAGAAAGAGGAAAGCACTGAGGATGTCTCGGAGGGTTCTTTCCTGGGGCACTGTGTATGTAACACCATCAGCTAGGAGTGAGGAACATGGTGGAGAAATGGTTTCAGAGCAGAGATGACCAACTTATACAGAGCTGGACAAATAAAATGTGCCTCAGTTATATCTGGGGGGAACACCCTATAAAGCAACCAGAAATATAGAGAGAATTGGAGAAGTCTTCTAGAAACATATTTTTTAGAATCACCAGGAAAAAATATGATATAGTCAGAGAAGTAAATGGAATCATCCTTGTGGAGCTTACTGGCTGAGTAGAGACTGTGGTAAGGACAGAATGCTACTTAAGGGAAAAATAAAGACAAAGAGTAAGCAAAGTTCAAGGAGCATGCTGAGAATTCGAAGAAAAACAGAAGGAAGAAGTGTTTTAAAGGCTGAGAGAGGGGAACACTTCATGAAGATGAGAAGGATGTTAATAAATGAGAGATTACCATTCCCTGGTTTGCATGCCACATGCAAAATCCTTACTTATTTCTGGTCTCCTGAAGACAGGAAAGATGGAGCTATGAAGATTGCAGGAGACTCAATCTAAGTTCAGAAAAAAACAAAAACAGAGCATGCAGTCTAAGGCAAGTTGTTTGGAGTGAACTAAGATTTGTAAGCCTTTCTGCAATATATCAAAATATGTGTGTGTGTATGAGTGCTTGTGTGTGTGTGTGTGTATGCGTGCGCCTTGGGAATGCAAATTTTATCTGATGTATCTAAGAAGATTTTTTAATTTAACTAAGAGTAAACATGAATTTTATTCCAAGCCATAGCCAGGAACAAATTAAAGTTTTGCCCCAACACAAGAAATACAGAGAGTATTTGCAAGTAGAGCAAGCAGGGGGTGTTTCCCAAGACTGAAGGAGAAGATACAGCCAAGAGAGAGTAGAAACACAATGCTATCTGTAGTATACCCTGTGCCACACCTCCCAAATCTGTTTTCAGGACCTATGTATGCACCTATCTCCCAGATGCTGGGAATATCAGATACTGGGAGCTCACAACTGCACCGCTCCCTGGAATTGTCCTCAGACCCAAGGAACAACCTCATCCAAAATTTTGTCCCATCATTCAGGGTAGCCCATGGTAAATAACAGGATACCATGAGAGTACAAATAATTGGCATCCTTGCCTTATTGTGGGATGACACAGAAGGGCCATTCCAGCCCCAGAACTTCCCATTGTATCACTGGAGGCCTCAGATGCAATCTCATGATGAGTCAGCTCCTCCTTTGACCTAGTCCTACATTGTAACTTTTTTACAGGATGATTCTTCAGAGAACTCCTCCAAAATCCTTCTGTACACAGTTCTATAACTCAGTTTGTATTTATCTAGGACCCTATATACAATAATAGGAAAGATAGTTTCCAATAAAATTTTAACTTCCATTTGCTAATTAATGCTGATCACTGTCTATCACTATATAAAATATCGTGAAACCATGAAGATAAATCTGACACTGATTTTGACCTCAAAGAAGTTATACCCTAGTAGTAAATACCTAGCTGTGTTTTTTGTAAGCTGGAATGAGCATCAGAATCACATGATGGAGGGGTTATTAGCATATTACTGGATCCTAGCCCCCAAGTTTCTGATTTAGTGAGTCTGGGGTAGTGTCCAATAATTAGCATTTATAGCAAGTTACCAGATGATGCTGATACTCATGATCCAGGGACTACACTTTAAGAACTACCGGTAACTAGTGATAAATGACATACAGAAAGATAAACAAACCTATTAAAATAATAAAAAGAATAAATAATCATAAAATAAGTCAACTGGGAAAGGCTCTATGGATAGTTTGTCATTAAGTCTGGGCTAAAAACTACGTTGGTAATTGAAGCTACGTGGGAAAAGTTACAAGACTTTGAGGTTCTAAGAGGGACAATTGTTCTGCTGGAGTTACATAATAGTCTCCCAATTTGTCTTGATTTCTTAATCCTATTCCTTAGCTTAGATCCAAACACCACTAGCCAATCCTCCACCTTTATTGCATTCCCTCCCACATGCCATTTTCTTAATTTTTCAGGTGTATTTTTCAAGAATGTATCATATCATTCTCCAGAACCATCTACCTCAATCCCAGTCCTGTGATTTTTGCAAACACACACACACATACACACACCCACACCATCTTGTTTAGGCTTTACATCCTGACTAACAGATATAATTGACAATAAATATTTGCTAATTTAAAGCCATATGAAGGTTCTTCCTTAGAAACTGAAGGGAAGAGAGACATACGCAGGACTGTTATACCTTGAAAACTTTGTATGGTTTTCTATGTAGGTGAGACAAATACTTTGAAGTGAGAGTGTCTTTTAACTCTGCCTCATATTCCTCTCTAGGTCTCCTCTGCTATATTATGGAATTAAAGAATGGACTTTCTATTCCTCCAGAAAATAGGCAACGTGCTATGAAATGGGTTAGGGTCTCTCACTGGAAACAAGCAAACTGCAAGAAATGTGTCTATAACCAATTCCCACAGGTATGCTGCACCCCAACAATACACAGTTCCATCCCTCCTCCTTTCTTCTGATAGGGATTCCGGGGCTGGAAGATGCACACGTGTGGATAGGCTTCCCCTTCTTTGCAGTGTATCTAATAGCCCTCCTGGGGAACGCTGCCATTCTGTTTGTGATCCAGACTGAACACAGCCTCCACCAACCTGTGTTTTACTTCCTGGCCATGTTGGCCTGCACTGATCTTGGCCTGTCCACAGCCACCATCCCCAAGATGCTGGGCATTTTCTGGTTCAATCTCGGGGAGATTGTGTTTGGTGCTTGCATCACACAGATGTACATGATCCATATATGCACTGGCCTGGAGTCAGTGGTGCTGACAGTCATGGCCATAGACCGATATATTGCCATCTGCAACCCCCTGAGGTACAGCATGATCCTCACCAACAAGGTGATAGCCATCCTGGGCATAGTCATCATAGTCAGGACTTTGGTGTTTGTGACTCCATTTATATTTCTCATCCTGAGACTGCCTTTTTGTGATGTCCGGGTTATCCCTCACACCTATTGTGAACACATGGGTTTGGCAAAGTTGGCTTGTGCTAGTATTAGGGTCAATGTTATCTATGGCTTGATTGCTTTTTCCGTGGGCTACATTGACCTTTCTGTGATTAGATTTTCCTATGTCCAAATCCTCAGAGCAGTCTTCCATCTCCCATCCTGGGATGCCCGGCTGAAGGCACTCAGCACATGTGGCTCCCATGTCTGCGTCATGTTGGCCTTCTACCTGCCAGCACTCTTCTCCTTCATGACACACCGCTTTGGCCACAGCGTCCCTCACTACATCCACATACTTCTAGCTAATCTATACGTGGTCGTTCCCCCTGCCCTTAACCCTGTTATCTATGGGGTCAGGACAAAGCAGATAAGAGAGCGAGTACTTAGGATGCTTAACCCTAAAAGCTATTGATATTTAACCCCAAGAAAGTCTTCCATGATCACTCAGCAGGGCAATAACAGGTTCCAAGCAGAAGTAAATACTGGAAATATTTTTGTTAAACTCCTCTGGCATTCCCACACAAGCCAGTCACACAGAATTTATCCCCATTAGTCATAATTTTTACACCCCATAGGAGCAGCTCAAAGAGTCCAAAATAATCACTCTACATTTGATCACAGGAAAAGTACAGCAAAAAACTTTTCATATTTAAACCCTACTGATACTAAAAAATCCCTAAAGGGAGGAAAGGGTTTGCAAAAAGTTGTGCCCCTAGTAACTACCTTAAATAATTTTCTTTCTCATGGACATTCTCTTCATTCACATGTCAGAAGCTTAAGCTCATAACTATGAAAATGATTAATTTCATGGAAACCAAGCAGGATACAGTGGTAATTCAGGCTTTGGCTTCAACTGAAAGGTTTACCTGAGAATGTCACTTAGAGCTTGCTGAGTTTCAGTATCTCTGCAAATGAAATAACTAAAAAAAAAAAAGTGAAAATGTTTGCAGATTCTAAAACGTTAAAAGATTTGGAAATAAATAAATTAATGTATTTGTAATGTGGTTGTTACTTCTGGTGTATATAGATTTAGCTAACTAAATCCAATCTGAGGGTAGAGTCACTGGTGTGAAATGAGGTCTCAAGCCCCAGATGACCCCAGTGCTTGGGGGCATTTAGGGACTCAGTCCTTACCTTGGTGAGAGCCTTTTGGTCGGGAGACTACAAAGCCTGAGGAGTTAAGAGACTGCTCTGTGGGCTTGAGGACTCAGTGAAACTTCACGCCCTTCAGTCTGGGTAGGGTGAGCTTTAGGGCAGACTGTAAGAGAGTGGACGCTGACAACATACAAAGTCATTCTCATTCCAGTTTGAAAGCTCGGTAGGTTAATTGATTTCTCTGGGTATTCTAGAAGCTGCAAAAACATAAAGTTGCCTTCTAATTGGAAATGGGACTCTGGTTGAAACTCAAGGAATGAGCAAGGAATATGCAGAGAACAGGGCTAAGGTAATGGTAATGTAGACTGAGAGAGGAAGTAAACAGAGAAAAATAATATTTTGTATAAATATATAAAGAAAATGACCAGATTATTTTCTAAATAGAAATTACAGTATTGACACAAACAAGACTTAGAAAAAACTAAGCAGATCAAAATGATGAAGGAAGACGACAAAAATAGTCATTGCAGACTTTCATCTAAGTAGGATAGTAGGCCACAATAACTTTTCATATGTTTCTTAACTGTTTTGCAATATTGAAAAATTTGCAAAGCTTTCAAAACCATTTTAGAAAATTAACATTCTCCTGATAACAAATTTAGAAAATAAAGAAGAAAGAAAATTCAGAATAAAAAATTCAGAAGAAAGAAAAATACAGGTCCACCACCCATACAGATGCAGATAGAAACATGTAACTAAATTTGATGAAGCATTTTGGTTATATATTTTTAAAAGAAGCTAATATAGACATTATTGAAAGAGGAAGAGTACTTCCTGAGTACCAACTACTTTTCCATTACCTTATTTAATTTTCAACATAGCCCTAAAACATAGATAATAATATTAATGTCAGTTTACATAAGTAAAAATTAAGACCTTAAAATGATAAATTTCTTCATTGATCTCATGGAGCTACTGTCTCTAATTTCACATTCCAAGTTTTAAAACTATATCCTACACTGTCTATGTGGACTAATTACAGAGAAGAATAATGATTCAATATTAGAAAATGTATAAATTAAACACATCATATCAGTAATTAATGCATAAATATCATATACTTAATGCCATAAATTTTGAGGCTAGTGAAAAAGTCCAAAATACTAAATTATTTTTTAAAGTTTAATGATAAAAAGGAAGTTTATTAACATCGGAGAAAAATTCTTCCTTTTTAAGTAAATAATTTCTATCAAAATCAGAAATAAGTTAAGGTTTTTCCAGTCAGCTTTTTTAAATTACAGTGATACAATGAAATTCAACTAGGTAATGAAGAAAACATGTTTATTCAAAAAGCTAAAATTCATTATCATTTGAAGGTAATATAATCTCCTTCCAAAAAATCTTGACAGAATGATCTAAAAAAAGTTGTTAATAACAAAGTCTCTGTATAACACAGGGAACTATATTCAATGGTGTGTAGTAGACTATAATGAAAAATATGAAAAAGAATATGTATACATACATGTATGTATAGTTGAATCACTATGCTGTACACCAGAAATTAATACAACATTGTAAATCACCTACAATTCAATAAAAAATGGGGGAAAAAAGCAAAATCTTCAGTGTTGTCAACTAAAAAAGTATATAAAAATCTTGGTATGTCCTATGAGACATTAAAAACAGTTAAAGACATAATACCCAAATTGTACAGAGTAACAACTGCAAACATATAGATGGCCCCTGTGGTAGGAGGTCACTGGGAGGACATGACTGTCTGTTGACCTGCCAGCTGGACCTCGACACCAGAAGGCTTCTCACCCCTTCCCCTGTTCTTGGAATGTACCTTCTACCCAGCATTCCCACACTAGGCGCTATTCCAAGGACGCAGCCTTGAGAAAGTAAAGTGTTGTTGAGACCATCTGGACTGAATATAAGACTGAGCCCAGTTAAAACCTTGATATAAACTTTAAAGGTTCTGGCAGTTTGAGGTAGAGATCTACTCATCTTGCAACCTCATATGTAAGGTCCTTGCTTATTAAAACTGTCACCTACCACTCTGGAGTGGTCTGCCTCTTTCATTGGTGTCTCTTTGCCTTCCATATACAGGGGCCAGTTGCAGATTTCACCTTGGAAATGTCCAAGGTTGTGAACCCACACATATGTACATACAGATGAAGGTATGGATGGATATGTATGTGTGTGTGTGTGTGTGTGTGTGTGTGTGTGTGTGTATTCGTTGGCCGTAGGGAAATTATGGTTGCTGGATTCTGAATCACACCATACATCTTCTCAAAACAAATCTTCTCTCAATAATATCAGAAGGAGTATAAACAAAACCACATTGGCCCACCCCTTCAACATTAACAGAAGACAGAGAATGGCAGGATTTTAAAGTGTTTTAAGAGAAAAGAGTTTCAGCTGGAGCTTCCACAGTTGTCACTGACTTTAGGTTCAGACTGTGGATAGTGGGAGGCTTAAAAGGCATTGTGAAAAAGAGGAGAAGGGTTTGGAGACACATACATAGCATAAAGGAAGTGTCCAGAAATAAAAATATCTACACCAACTTCTAAAATATCTAACACAAGTCAAAGATGCTACTGAAAACATCACTGGCTACAGGAAAGTGGCTCAAAAGTGAGTAAGACTGGAGGTAACGGCCTCAGAAATGCATTGACTGCTTCTGGGGAAGGAGAAGATAACTGGAAGAAAGAGGGACCTCCTTATAGATGAGGTAATCAAAAGAAAGGAGGGAATGAGAGAGGAAAAAAGACCCTAAAGAAACAAAAGAAAACCAAAGACGTGTCAACCTCTCCCTGCCCTCCCGCTAAAGTTATTATCTTTAAATAAGCTTATCTTTATGATACTGACAGAAGAGGGTGCTCTTGTACTAGGAATTCTATCAGCAAAATAACAAGAAATAGGAAAAATCAGTTCAAATCTATAAAATGCTACAGTAAGAAGTAAATAAAATCAGACCATAGACAAAAATTAATTCAAGGTGTATCAACAACCTAAATGTAAAAGCTAAAATTATAAAACTCTTAGGAGTAAACACAGGGGTAATCTTCATGACCTTGGATTAGGCAATGGTTTCTTAGCTATAATACTAAAAGGACAAACAACTGAAAAAAGAAAATAGATACACTGGACTTCATCAAAATTTAAAAACATAATTCTTCAAAGGATAGCATCAAGAAAATGAAAAGATAGCCTACAGAATGGAAAAGATACTTGCAAATCTCATACCTGATAAGGTTCCAGTATCCAGAATACAGAAAGAACTCTTACAATCCAACAGTAAAAAGCAAATAACCCAATTAAAACTAGGCAAAGGATCTGAACACATATTTTTCCTAAGAATATATGTAATGGCCAATAATCACATGAAAAGATGCTCAAAATCATTAGTTGATCGGGAAATGCAAATCAAATTCACAATGAAATACTACTTTACACTGACAAGGGAGCTATTGTCAAAGCACTGATATTAGGTGCTGATAAAGATGTGGAGAATAAATACACTGATAGTGAGAATGTTAAATAATCTGGCCATTTGGGAAAAAAAATGTCATTTTCTCAAAAAAGTTAAACACAGAGTAACCATTATGACCCAGAAATTCCACTCTTAGGTTTCTACCCAAGAGTATTTAGAAATACATCAATACAAAGACTTGTCATGAATGTCGTAACAGCATTAGTTATAATAGCATAAAAGTAGTATTAACACAAATGTCCATCAACTGATAAACACTTAAATATACCTTGGTATATCCATATGATGGACTATTATTCAGCCATAATGAAGTACTGATACCTGCTACAAAATGGATGAAACTTGAAAGCACCATGCTGTGTGAAAAGCAGCTAGACACAAATGGCCACACACTGTATGATTCCAATTATATTAAATGTCCACACTAGGCAAAATTTTAAAGACAAAATGTAAATTAGTGATGACAGACACTGAAGAAGAGAAGATGAAGACCTCACACTTGGAAAGAGATTGGGTCATTAGAACCTAAAAGGTTGAAGGTGAGCCTATATAACTGTGTCTCAGATCTCTTAGGAAGGGCACTACCTCTAACTAGGACTAGTGTCACAGGAGCTCAGAGGAGGTGCCCCTTAGAACTGGGACTAAGACCTCTGAGGAAGAGACTCCATCCTGCTGCTGCCGGTACCTCTGAGGGAGTTCAGTGAGGCTGATTTGATCCAGGGAGTTCTAAAACTCAAACCAAAACCAAAACCAAAACAAACTCCAAAACCCAAACAACCGACCAACCAACAAATCTCAGAAACCAAAACCAACTCCACGGCCAGGATGAAGAGTCATTGCTGAGGGATACTGACAGGAGAGGAAGCAGCAAATATCCCCTCCCTGATTCAACCTTCCAGACTTTTTCAGTTGCTCTCTGTAGGTGGAAGCTAAGAGGGAGCCACTGACAAAGGGTCCGAGAGGCCAAGCCCCTGAATCACAAAGCAGAGTTCAGATGGGAGTTTAGGGCTGAGAGACAAGAGTTAATCTGTGCATAGCAACAACCAGTCTGAGTCTGAAATCTCTGACATCACA